CTTGAGGTAAGCTTTGCCAATGCACGGCCAAAGGGAGCCAGGTGCAAGTCCAGCTCCACTCACTGCAGGCGGTGGATGCTGGCCAGGGTGGAGCCCACCAGGCAGGTTCCAGACAGCCTGGGCAGCTGGATGGGGCACGGCCAGGTGTGCAGACAACTGTAGTGAGATAGAAACAGGGGAGAGAGCGAACACACAGGCCACACAGCAGGCACGGGGGTTTACACACACCTCTGACAGGGACACGCACGCACGTGTGCACACGGTACACGCACTGTGGACCCGCCTGGTGCTGAGGGAAGGCAGTGTATGGCCGAGTCCCTTTCTGGCTTTCTGCAAAGGGCACAACTCCAGCAATGGATCAGGGGTCTGCAGGGTACCAGGGATGGGGGGCTGACTATGGGGGGCTGTGGGCGGTGGGCTACTCTGGATCCAGATGGACACGGTTGTCACACAGCTGCGAGTGTTTGGCAAAACACACAGAACCGTGTCTAAGGAGTGAATTCTCCTGTGTGTAAATTACACCTTAATAAAAAATAAAAAAACAAGCCACCAACATCACCAGGTGCACTTTAAACGCGTGCAGTTTATCCTGTGTCAACTGTCCCTCACGTGAAGACACAGGTGCCAGGCAAGGATTTCTCTTTACATATGGTGTTTCTGGCCCTGGGTTTACAGTTCTGCCAAGATGATTCGCTAGACCACAACCTTGCAAAAGGATTGGACAGTGTACTAGGCAAGTAAGCTACGTAAAACTCTTGCAGGGATTGGACAGTTTACTATGTAAATAAGGTAACTGTGGCTATGAAAGGGATTGGTACATTTTGCCATGCTGCTAGGCCTGTAAGGGCTAATCCCACAGAGGTTGGAGGGGATTACCACCAAGAAGAGGAGTCGGGAGCCAAGCATGTCCTCTGGACCTGGGGTCCCTGTACTGAGAACCTTCTAGACCCAGGAAACAGAGAGCTGTAACAGTGGAGACAGTATGAGACTGCACGAGACTGAACTCTGTATGAGTGGCAAGAACCAGGAGACCAGCGTGGTGGGCCGGCCCACGGAGCGAGGCGGTTGCAGTGAGCTGACTGACCCAGAGTGACAGAGCTGAATGCCTCTGCGCAGGAGGCTTGCTGGCAGTGTGGCGCCTCTGGGCACCTGAGAGTGGAGCTGAAAGAGCTGTAACACTTGCCCGAGAAGGGGCCGGCGCAGAGGCCCAAGCATGGCCTGCCAGCCAGCACGGCCAAAAGAGCTGACAGCTGTCTTAGTTGGAAGCTGTTCTGATTTATGAACTGTCTCCTGAGTTGTTCCTATTACTTCCAAATTGATCCTGATCCTGAGCTGTAGCCTGTTACTTCCCTAATAAACCCCCTAATTGTGAGTACAGTCTGTGAGTTCTGTGCGGCCCATGCAGTGAATTATCGAATCCAGCAGAGAAGCAGAGAGTGCCACGGGGGAGGACGGCTGGTGTCAGAACTGGTAAAAAGGTTGGAGAGCGGAGGTATGTCCGACCTCCACCTCATGGGAACCAGCTTTGGGCTAATGCTGGTTTTTCTCCTCCCACCTCGTGAACTTAGCCGAGGTCTGACGCTCCTACTAGCTCACAACTGGCCAGACGGTAAACTGGGCCCCAGCCGGGCGGGAGCCGACCACAGGGCCAACAAGGGAGGGATGGCAGCTGTGCTGGCCAGCAGGGCCCAGGGCCCAGGACTGGGCTGGGGTGGCAGTGTGGAGGGCCCCTGTGTGGGAGTGCCATGGGGCAGAGGGCGGGCAGTCCCAGGCCGGACTCAGCAGGGTGTTGTGTGCTTGGGGAGCTGGATCCCTCCCTGGCCCCACCGCTGCCGCTGTGGAAGTGTTAACCTTCCAGGTGCCAATGCCCCGCCTGAGAGGGGTCACAGACCTCTTGGGGGCTCTGTGAAGGTGGCACTAGCTGGCACAGCACCCGGGATCCAGTGGCCACCCCGCCTGCCCCCTGCCCTGTCTCCCTCACCTCGCTCAGGGTGCGTTCCCCAACACTGCAGAAGGCCCCCAGCCTCATCCTGAGCCCCGACGGCAGAGTAGCAGCCTTGATGGAAACCTGGGACCTGGAGACCAGGCTTGCTGTGCTTGCCCCCAAGCAGCACCCCTGGGCTCACCACAAGCTATCACAGCTCACGCTGCCCCCCTGGAACCCAGGCAGGGTCACCATGGTCCCCGCTGACTTGAGTGCTCCTGGCACCCAACTTGGGTCCCTTGGAGGCCCAAGGGGGGTGCTGCACGTCCAAACACCCTGATGATCTTCTCAGGACAACAGTTCAACCCCCAGCAACTCCTACGGCATGACCTCCAGCCCAGTGTCCCAGAGCACCTGGTGACACTGCTGGCGGGGGCAAGAACCCAGAAGGGTCCCAGCCATGAGGGAGACTGTGGTGGGTGTGGTCCCAGGAGTGGACTGCAGGGACGTCCACAGGCTCATGGTCTCAGACAGCTAAGGGTGCAGCCCGCCCCTCTGCCGGCTCACTGAGGGAAATCAAGGCCTGCCTTCCCTCCGCCTGCTTCCCACGGCCATCGCTCAGTCCCTCCACCTGCAGAGCCCCGGAACACAGCACCCCCAGTCCCCACTGCTGATCTGTGTGTCCCACAGAAGCAGGGCATGTGTAATTCTTAACTGCTGGCAACTGTTTTGTTTTTAAAATTCTGGGTAGGCAAAACAACAGTGAAACAAACAAAAGGCACTCTGAAGATTAACAAGACCTGACTGTGGCCACTCATTGCCCATGGAGGCCGTCAAGGAGCCAGCTGGGAAGTCCCCTCTGGAGCCCTGACGACTGAGGTCAGTCCACACGCTTTGGGACAAAAGGGGTTTCCAGGAGTAGCAGCCTCTGCTATGCAAGGCTCTGGCCCTGTGGGCAGAGCAGCTGTGGTTGGGGGGCCAGGAAGGGCCCTCTGCTTCCTAGAGGCAGGGTCAGAGGGTGTGACAGTGAGAGAGTGTCTGCGGGGCCCAAATGCAGAGGTTATGGGGGAAGGGCACAGATGACCACCGCACACGCAGTTTTGGTGCCCATGTCATCCTCACGGAGAACGTCGGAGACCTGAAGCGTGGCTGTCCACCTGCCCGGAAGGCCTCAGCGTTCCCACTGCTGAACAGCGAAGGCCAGGACGGCCACGCCCCCCTCCAGCTCAGCGTCCACCCTCCCCCCACGGGCACTTGAGGAGTAGGTGGAGGAGGTACCGCACGGCACAGGGCTGACCCAGCGTAAACGTTCCACCAACACCAGTCGCTACTGTCAACATGACGACGATGTACCTGAGCTCTGGGGGGAAACACTGCACTCTGGTGGGAAAGGGCCAAGAAGCGGGCGCTCAGCCAGCCTTGCCATGGTGATGTGTCCAGAAGCCCCGTGCTTTCCAAGGCGGGGCCCCTCGCTCAGAACCCACCCTGGGGTGACAGCGCGGCGCTCACTCCAGCTCACTGGGCTGGTCTCACCCCCAAAATTCCCCAAGCCCAAGGCTGCAGCTTCTGTTGGAGATGCTACAGGTGCCACACCCCTGCCGTGGGAGGTGGGGCCGACAGAGATGCCTGGCCAGAGGAGCCATGCCAGACATAGCCCCAGATGGGCTTGACCCAAGCAGGCCACACTCGGCCGCTGGCGACCTTGGCACAAGACCTAGTCTCAGTTTCTCCTCTCGCTCACTCATTTATTCGTCCCACAGGTATTCTTGGGACACTTTCTCCGCGCTCAGCCCTCTAGGGCACTGGGGCAGGAGGACAGAGCATATGGGTTCTGGTGGCAGCACGAGAACAGAAGGTGGTGACTCTGAGGAAGAGGAAAGGGGCTGCCGCTACGACCTGTGAGCCTGGAGGGCCATGGGGGGTGAAAAGGAAGGGGCTGAGGTACTGGAGCAGAGGAGTGAGCAGGGGCGGGAGGAGGAAGGTGGGGGACGTGGGCAGGTGGCAGGACGGCTACATGTATAGAAGTGGGATGAGGAGGAGCCGTAGTGAGTGCTCACCAATGCACAGGCCCAGCAGGGGCACGGCTGCCCCTCTGCATACAGAGCCATTGCCAAGGCACCACAGCTGGGACCCCTCCAGGCTCCGACCCCCCAAGTGTGCACAGGGGAGGACCCCACAGGGCTACGGAGTTGGCACAGGCTCTGAAACCTTGCATCCCGGCCTCCCAGTGCGGTGCTGGCCCGAACAGATTCAGCAGACAGAGCTTGCGTGCGAACTTGGAGAGCACCCCATTTAAGGAGCTGCACTGCCCGCCCTCAAAGCCTAGTGCCCCTCCAGCACCCAGGAAGTGAGAGGCCAGAAGTGGAGCAATATCTGCAGCCCAGCCCCCGCAGATGCAGGGGGCACAGCGTCCGGTGGAAGTCTTCCTTCCTGAACGTGGCAGGGCTATCTGCCCACCAGGTCTAGGGAGCCAGCCCGTCCACCCACTGCCAACTCTGACAGCGTTCCATTTCCTTCTCTGCTCACCTGGGTGCAGGCAAGAAGAGCAGTATTTGCTCAGCAAATATTATCCGGATAACTAAAGCAGAAAAGCAATATTTTCGCCAACCTCCTACCCACGCAGCAAACAGCGTCAAGAGAAAGATCCTCTCCACCCCCCCTCCAAATACAAACCTCAAGGGGAAGGGACCTGGAGAGTTTCAAAGTATCCATTTTACATTTCATCTTGCCTCCAGCAAACTCCGGCACTGCCCACCTCCCTAGCACATCTTGAAAAGAATGCAACGATATTTTGGCAACACAAACCCAACTGAAAAACGGACGACTGTGAAGCCACGCAGCCCCCGACTACAGAGTGTAATTTACAGGCAGTTTTCCGCAGCTCAAGATACAGCCACCCCCATAACCCACCCCAATGCTGGTGCGGCCTGCAGGAGCGACTGGCGGCGAGGGCCGGAGCCTGGGAGTCATAGGGATTCCCTCAGGGGTTCCCCTTGCGCCAGGCTGCAATGATCCGCGTCCTGGGGTTCCAGGGACCCTTGGCCAGTGTGCGACCCCCGGGCCCCTGCCCACCTACCTCCAAGGCCTCCAGGGTGCTGAAGCTGGCGATGGCGAAGCCGTCGATCAGCTCCTCCTCCTGCGAGCTGGACTCGCGGCGGCGGCGGCGCGGAGGGCGCGCGGCGCGGGGCGC